TTACGTTTTATATGCACATACATACATATATTAAGAAATTTACTTTTGTAAAAAAAAATTAGAAGTATATAAAATACTTAAGAAGTAATTTTTGTTTACTCTCACTAAAGAGATGTTTTTTTTTAATATTGTATATCTGTACCCACATACAGGATTGTGATTTTTTAATTAAAGGATTTAATGTCTAAGAAAGTTAGTTTATTCCAACGACTGAAGTATTTCGTGCAATTGACATGTAGCAAAAGTTAATAATTATTTTATTTTGTTGAAAACTTGTGGAAAATTTAATTGGAACTCTTAAATACAAGCAAACAATTCAACACCAAGAAATTCTTAAAGATCAAATAGCAGTTTTGTTGCTGAGGGTGATGTTTATTTTTCAGCTGTCAGTTTGTAATAAATATCATATTTTTAAGTATTGTAAACCAACACAACATTTTCCTGTGTTGCACACAATACCGCTTAGTTTTTTATTCTCTCTCTCTAAACACTAAATGTTGAGAAGTAAAAACATAAAAAATTCAAGTATTTATCTTAATAGAAATACAATTGAAAAACCGAATGGACTTAACCTCAATTCGCTTCAATTCTCAACGCGATTTAATTATGAAATTTTGTCATGAAATTAATAGCTTTTTAGTTTGTTGTTTGCACTGGAAAAAAATTTATTCTTATAACTAGTTAATATAATAGTATAATTCCTGCCTAAACTTCAACTAGTCTGAAAAATATCAGATTCATACCATTTATAGAATCTGACACTGCACATTGCGTGGAGCATCAGCATATATAATATATAGTAAGGCAGTCGACTGACTAATTGATCTTACGGTTAATAACTGCTGTATTAAAGTTCATACATCTGTAAATATGTGTATACATATGTTTTTAAATATACAAATTATTAGCATAAACTAAGAATTTGTGAATCGCTTAAGTTTGGAATGAGAGTTCATATTAAACAGTGTCAAGGACACTTGAAAACCTGTCGTTTCCCATCACTCGACAGAACTCACTGTGAAATGAATTTTTAAGTGTAAAAATGCGCATTTTAATAAAAACCCAACCTTTTCTTTTCCACCTTTAAAAACAAGCACTGCGACCATTGAAGTAAGTTACACTATACCTAGAAACTGAACACGAGTACTGCCTAATATCGTAAGCAATGAAGCTAAAGAAAATAACAATCTGAAATTATGTACATTATTTTGGAGCTCAGTGTTCCACTTTTCAGAAATATTTTATTTCCATGTTATACCTACTTAGTAAAGGCATTATACAAGTAAATTACGAATTATTAACTTGTGGCGCAATTGAAAAACTTTAAGAACTCATTAAAATGTATTTTAAAAACCTATATATCTTTGTATTAACTATTATGAAAATATATAAAATTTACATAAAAACGGTTGTAGTAAATTGTTTGATATTCAATTAGTTTTATGGGATACAAACAACCGTTATGTGAACAAAACTATTATACTCTGTAACAATATGCTGCGAGATTATAAAAATAGATTAATCTAAGCCAAGTACGGCTGCAGTCACTTTATATATTTTCATAATTAACAAAGATCAAAGCCGCGAGATACCTATTTACCAGTGTTGGCAAACCTTTAAAACTATTAAAAAATACTCGTTATTCGACGAAATTGTGAACGAATTACAATAATATTAGTTATCTTATTAACTTCAAATATTAGTCATGGTCCCACTTCTTTTCTATATTCAATTTTATATTTGAAATATTTATATTAAAATCTAACTAACTAATGCATATATTTAAAGCCGAGATCAATGTCTATACTGGTTTACATTTAACTTTAAACAACATTGTGGTCACTTAATTTCATTTAGTTAACCAGAAAGTCAAAAGTCGAAAAGATAATCCACACATTAATCGATATATTCGACTAAAGTAAACCGAAATAACGAAAAACTGTAGGTCAGTATAAGGCGGATGAGGTAATTTATAGACCAGCGCCAAACTACAGTTTATCCAAGAAAATATTATACGAATATGTATACATTATAGAAATTGACGTCATGTTAAAATATTATCAAACATAGAGTTAAGGGTCTGATTAAGGCAACATTTACAAAAAGGCCACTAATTTGCGCTTTTCGCAAAAATGTATTAACTAATATAAGAAAAATAGGTATAACAAATAAGGAAGATCTAAGTTCGGGTGTAACCTAACATTTAAACTCTTACAACTCGCAAGGATCAAAGCCGGGGGAGTACCTTGAAATAAATGAAATGAATAAATACCTTGAACAAGTAAGATATATGTGATATAAATTCAACCGAAAAAGCTACCATAAATTTATTATACTGAGTTGGTATGTAAAACGTCAATCAGAGGATCGGAATTCATCATATTAGGGATATGAAGTTTAGATCAGGTCTAGGTTTAGCGAATATCATTTTATAATTTTGAAGAAAACTTGTACACTAAATTTCATGAAAATATCACAACTTTTGTCCCATCTAAACGCCCTAAACCGTTCAAAGTCAGCTCTAAGTCGAAAATC